AAGAACCAGAACATGGCGGATGTAAAATTTTAGCTCTGCCTATTTTTGAAAATTATATGAGAATTTTGAACATCTTTGATGCGAAAAAGCTTTTAAGCTCACCATAATTTACTGATAAGGTAGCAAGGAATCTGCTGACCTATTTTTTATCAAAACTACGCTTGAAATACTCGCTATTCACAGGGCAACGTCGACCACGGACGAACATTTTGATTATATAATTATTTTGTATGAACGAAATGAGTCTACAGCAGCAAACAAGAGGCAGCCTTGTACATGGGATATCGTATAATAATCGAGGGAAGCTAATATGGACTGAATCCTTTGAGGCTTTACAATCGTTTGTCGAGGAAGTGTTAAATATAACTGATGGTGTTTGGGGTTGCCCTGGAGGAGGTACGAAACAGTACAAGTCCGAGGATATAGACCTTCGCTGGTACCCTGATACCAATCAATTACCCTCATGGTAAACGTAAGGATGATATTATTGAGAAATTGAATTCCGTAGCTTTAGTATCAGAAGAGCTGACAAACAACACCAAAAATTTGAAACAAGACGGCCATATTGAGAGTAAACAAAATTTGCATATGGATAATACATTTTCTGAGACCTTAATTAACTCGAAAGCATCACAAGCATCACAAGAAGACGATAATATCACAGATTCAGATGATTTTAAACTTAACTTAATGAACTCTATTAAAAAATGAGCATAAAATTGGATGCTGTGTTCACAATGTGTGAAGAAGTCAGTGAAATTGGAAATATCAATAGGAAATTGGATTCTCTGTTTAATGAAATGAAAGACATCAAACACGCAAGACTTAATGAGCTCTCAGTGTTTGAAGAAGCTTTTGAAGTCTTAAAGAAGGAAAACCTCAAGGTTATGAAAGAAAATATTGATCTACGAGAAAGAGACAAACATCTATCACTCATCATGTCAGATTTAAGCATAAAAGTAAAGGAACAGGAGCTGGAAATAAAAAGTTTAGTCACAGCAATAAAACTCCTCCAAGACGATAGTAAGAAAAACCATCCAGATGGTAACCAGGCCGCAGCATGGCATACCATTCCCACTTCGGTTAAGTCCAGAGTGCCCCCCACAACTCAGTCAAACATCAGAAATGTCGACACAAGCAACCAGTTTGAGGTGTTAAGTGACATTGAGAATGATGATGCTCCATCTAATGAACAACAAGGCAAACAAGGACAAACTACCAACCACTCACGCATATTAAGTAACACAAGTAATGAAGATGAAGTGGTAACTATGCCTCCCCTGAATCAACCCCCGGAAAGAAATAAAAGCAGTCAGCACAGGGGTCAAACACACCATCACACTAAACAACCTGGCCAATCTTTTCATGATGGGAAGCGAAGGAATTCTAATAATCCTATCTGTGGAACCGAATTAGAAAATCCTCACCACAAGGTGGTAAAAGGTAGCACACAAGACTCACAAATAAATCAATCAAGAGTTGTCATATTAGGGGATTCTATGCTGAAACATTTGAATACAAGAAGAATGCAAAATGGACTGAGTAGTCAAAAAGTCAACATTAAGACATTTCCAGTTGCAGGAGTTGATCAAATGAAACACTACGTGATTCCAACCCTGAATACAAAGCCAGACAAAATTATTATGCATATCGGAACAAATGATCTTCACAATACAACACCAGAAAAGCTACTACAGTCCATAAATGACCTCGGAAAGATAATTACACAACAGAATAAGGGTATATCAATTGCTTGGTCTGAAATCATCACAAGAAAAGATGACCAGAACTTAGCAGACAAGGTAAATAAATTATAGTCAATAGTGGTCTAGCTAAATTATGTGAGAAAAATAAGTGGGGCCTTGTAACGAATAACAACATCGGGAGGAATCTATTAAATAACTAAGGACTCCACTTAAATAAAAAAGGAACTGCAACTTTGGCAAAAAACATTAAACAATTACTTATCAACAATAATCATTGACTAAATATTACGCCTGGTAATATCACATCTGCGCAAAACATAAATAAGACAACTATGCCAGATCCAGAACAATATAACACACAGCCAAATGCACAAATACCGATACAAATAAATAGCACAAATTATCCAAAACTAAAAGGTTTCAAAATTGGACACTTAAATATCGCAAGCCTAGTCAAGCATGCAGATGAACTAAGGATCTTTATACAAAATCAACCTTTTGATGTATTAAGCATCAATGAGACTAGACTTGACAATACGGTACACAGTGACGAAGTTAAGATGACATGTTATGACTTAATAAGGAAGGACAGAAACCGAAACGGAGGAGGAGTTGCACTTTACGTGAGAAATACCATTCCATACAAAGATCGCAATGACTTATTACCAAATAATGTAGAGGCAATTTGCATTGAAATCAATAAGCCAAATAGTAAACCAGTTCTAATATCAACATGGTACCGCCCTCCAAATGCAAACATTGAGTTACTTCATTCTTTTGAAGAATTTTTACAAAAAGCCGACAATGAAGACAAAGAAATAATCATAGCAGGTGACTTCAATTGTAACTTTCTTGCAACCGAACCTAATGAGCACACAAAAAAATTAAGTGACTTAATTAATGAATATCAACTTACACAAATCATCAAGGACCCAACAAGAATCACTGCTACAACAAAAACACTATTAGACATAATAATTACTAAGATAGATAACACAAGAATAACGGACTCAGGGGTTATACACTTAGGAATCAGTGACTATAGCCTTGTTTACACATGCAGAAAAGTCAGTATTCCAAAAATAAAGCCCAAAATAGTTGAAACACGGCAATTTAAAAATTTCAATAATCATAACTTCCAGCATGATTTAAACCAGGCATTTGATTCAATGCATCTTTATAGTTACACTGATGCAAACACTGCTTGGCATGCATGGAAAGAAACTTTCTTAAATATTGCAGACTTCCATGCGCCAGTAATAAAACGAAAGGTTAAAAGCGAATACAATCCTTGGATGACAAATGAAATAAAGACAATGAGCTACCATAGAGATTCCTAAAAAAGAAAGCAGTTAAGCACAATTCAACAAGATATCACGAATTATACAAGGATTGTAGAAACCAAGTAAATCAGCTTATTAAAGACACTAAGACTAAATACTATAAGCAGAAATTAGCAAACAGCAAAAACAGTAAGGAAGGATGGAAAACAATTAATGAATTACTGAACAAAAATTCAAAATCTACTACAATAAATGGATTAAAAACTGGTGAAGCCGAAATAATAGGAGACAAAAATATAGCAGAAGAATTTAATACTTACTTTTCAACAATTGGCTCAAAATTAAGCGAGGACTTACCTGCAAGTGAAATTGACCCTCTCAGTTATATAACACCTACCTCAGAAGTTTTCAACTTAAATAACATTACTAATGCAGATTTAAGAAACGAACTGGGGAAAGCTAAAGATGGGAAATCAGCAGGACTTGATAAAATTTCAAATAAACCTCTCAAAGCAGCAGGAGAAACCATTATTACTCCCTTGACTTATATTATTAATCTATCAATAAACACAGGAATTTTCCCAGATGGATTAAAATACACAAAGGTTACCCCTATTTATAAATCAGGAGAAAAAACGGATTGTGGGAACTATAAGCCCATTTCAGTAACATCAGCGGTTGCAAAAATCTTCGAAAAATTAATTCACAGACAATTGAGCCAATTTCTAAAAGCTAACCAATTACTATCACCTAATCAATCAGGCTTTCGTACCCAGCACTCTACAGAGACTACACTTTTACATTGTATAAACCAATGTCTTGTAAACATGGACAAGGGCTTGATTAATGGTCTACTGTTTCTGGACCTTAAGAAAGCCTTTGACACGGTGGATCATAAAATACTAATTTCTAAACTAGAACTTTACGGAATAAGAGGAAAAACATTATCATGGTTTATATCTTACTTAACAGAAAGAAAACAAGCTTGCAAAATTAACCACGAAATCTCAGACATGAAAAATATCACTTGTGGCGTCCCCCAAGGGTCGATTCTCGGACCTTTGCTTTTCCTGTTGTACATCAATGACTTGCCAAATTGCTTAACCTCCACAAAACCATCCATGTTTGCGGACGATACTAACCTTTTCTGCTATGGTAAATCAGCGGTAGATATTGAGTGCAAAATTAACACTGACTTAGATAACGTTCATAAATGGCTAGTTTCGAACAAATTAACCCTAAATATTAGTAAAACAGAATACATGATTACAGGATCCAGACAACGATTAAACCAAATTCTATCAGACCCTGAAATTACTATTGCCGAACAAAAGGTTATATAAGGGTTGATAACAAAAAATTCTTAGGCGTAATTGTTGACAAAAACCTTAAATAGCATGACCATATTGATGCGCAATGCAAAAAAATTCTAAAAATACAGCTTTACTGAGAAGAGCAAAAAACTACATGACTGACAACGCCCTTAAGACGATGTATAACTCCCTAGTTTTACCCCATTTTACTTATTGTTCGACAGTGTGGCATCACGGAAACACCACACATATTGACAAACTCCAAAAACTACAAAAAAGAGCCGCTAGGGTTATCACAAATTCAAATTTTGACATTAGAAGTGCAGAGATTTTTAAAACACTACAATGGGAACCAATCGGGCACATCCTAAAACGACGCGACGAACAAATAACATTTAAGGCAATACGAGGAATGACACCAACATATTTAATTGAACTGTTTAATACCTGTCAAAATACTTGCTATACTCTGAGAAGCAACGATCGGAAACTCACTTTACCAAAGCCAAACACTAACTTTCTTAAAAATAGTTTCTCGTATCGCGGAGCAGTAGCTTGGAATAATCTTCCTCGTGAAATTCTTGACAATTATGAGTCTCTTTCATTGAATTCATTCAAACAATTAAGTCAAAGACACGAAATGAAAAACTCCGAACAACCGTGCTAAATTTATTTGTAGCGGAGACATATTGTAGCATTTTGGCAATTGTCACTTTGTATATAATGCATGAATATATATTAAGCTTAGGACTTGCATGATTTTGAAATATTTTTAGATTTTTATTGCATGCGTGTGGAGCACGGCCCTTTGAAAAACAGGTCACTGAAAGGCTACCGTGCATAAATATGTTTAAATATAATAATAATAATAATAATAATAAAATATATATATATATATATATATATATATATATATATAGATATTTAAATAATTCATTTCAAGATACAACACAACCAAAACATATGTATATATATTATAATATATATAATATATATAATATATATTATATATATATATTATATATATATAATATATATATATATATATTATATTAATATTAATATATATATATTATATATATATATATATATTTTTGTTATATATATATATATATATATACAGTCACTGCTGAAAAGGTTGTCCATCGTATATACCATTATATGTATCACGTGACTAATTGGTATGCATCAAAACGCGTGTGTTTTGTCGGGTAGTTTGCGTGTTTACTCTGGTCCCGATAACAAAGTGCTCTCGTAACTGCAATAATACGGCAATCACTGCAATAGCCAAGTATCTGCCTCCTAATAATGATTTTCAATGCATGATAACAACAATGGTTGATGGCATTAAATTGGGTTGTGGATACTGGTACTGGTTGTTTAAGTGCGTGCAAAGTTTGCAGTTCAGTAATAGGGCATCTTCGTTCATGTACTGCACTATCGTCTTAGCTGGCTGCATTATGTTATTCGTCTCTGCCGATTGATTTGAATTGCTCTTGTGAAACAGTCGCCCTGTGACACAGTCACACCGTGATATTATGTGCATGTTTTGTATAATACCTTGATTATATAATCGCATATACCAAGTATAGAACACGGGGCTTCCTGCGTTTATATGCGGCAAGTACTAGAGATAGTCGAACGTGTTCATATTTCAAATAATTGTTAACCATTTGTAGAATCATTTTGCACCTTGGCGAATAAAATCAGCGCTTCCCGCTCTACAACCGTACCGTATATATATGGCAAAGGTTACATAGCTTAGCACGACCTGATTTGGCACGGTAAAGTACGGCTGAAATTGAAGACGAAAACTGGTTTTCTTGTTAATGTCCAATACACGAGCTTCGAGAACAGGAATCACTGATTCTGACTCAACGTTTGAATCCATCATGAAAACAACTCAGTACTTTCCGTATCATGGACAAACGTCTCATGCAGCGGCGTAACCTGTATTTGCAAGTCTCGTGGGACATTACCGCCTTGATATACAGCTTGTTTACTTGACAAAACGGATGATCGGTGATCCTTCGCAAAAATTTACGTAATAAGGCGTATAACGGAAGCTTCAATTTGTAAGCTTTGCCATATGTATACGGTACGGTTGTAGAGCGGGAAGCGCTGATTTTATTCGCCAAGGTGCAAAATGATTCTACAACTGATTAACGATTATTTGAAATGTGAACACGTTCGACTATCTCTAGCATTTGCCGCATATAAACGCAGGAAGCCCCGTGTTCTATACTTGGTATATGCGATTATAATCAAGGTATTATACAAAACATGAACATAATATCACTGTGTGACTGTGTCACACGTCGATCTGTTTCACAAGAGCAATTCAAATCAATCGGCAGACGACGAATAACATAATGCAGCCAGCTAAGACGATAGTGCAGTACATGAACGAAGATGCCCTATTACTGAACTGCAAACTTTGCACGAACTTAAACAACCAGTACCAGTATCCACAACCCAATTTAATGCCATCAACCATTGTTGTTATCATGCATTGAAAATCATTATTACGAGGCAGATACTTGGCTATTGCAGTAATTGCCGTATTATTGCAGTAACGAGAGCACTTTTTATCGGGACCAAAGTAAACACGCAAACTACCCGACAAAACACACGCGTGTTGATGCATACCAATTAGTCACGTGATACATATAATGGTATATACGATGGACAACCTTTTCAGCAGTGACTGTATATATATATATATATATATATATATATATAATATATATATATAATATATATATATATATATTATATATATATATATATATATATATATATATATATATATATATATATATATATATATATATATATATATATATATATATATATGTATATATGTATATATTGCATTTGCAAAAACGTTGGCCGCAGATAGATAGATAGATATATATATTTTTATATACATAATTTTATATCACCTATATTTACAGCTGTATAATTTTGAAATGAATAGAGAGGGTAGTTAAACTATATCAAAATATAGTTTGTCTTGTTTGTGTTTTATCTTGAAATGAATTATTTAAATATCTATCATTGTTGTGATAAACTGATCTTCAAGCTACGTATACTACACAAAAACAGGCCCCGATTGTATCAAGCCCGTTTTGCTTAAACGGTGAACAAGTCAAAATTAAATAACATTCTTACATCTCTCTTGAATGAGTCAACTTGAATATTATGCACTGAATTTATTTTAAATTTGAAACTATTTTAAATAAATATATAAAAAATTTACTATTCCAGATGAATGATATCGAAACCCCCACACTCCGCTATAATTATGTACGGTTCTGAGAGGAGAGCTGGCGATAAAAACGATGAAGCAAGAAGGAGGAGTAAGCGGGATAAGGTAGAGTGAGCAGGTGCACAGGGAAGGCAGGGAAAAAGGGAGCTTGAAAAAAGTGGAGCAGATGCAAAAAGTTACCAGGCGCCTGGCGGCAAGAGAGTCAAGTGATGGAGGGAAGAAGAAAGGCGAGAAACAAAAAGCAAAGAGGGGGTTTGCTTCCAATTTTATGTTTCTCATAACCTATCCTCGCCCGATCCGGCGCAAAAATTGGGGAATTCGTGCTGAGGTTTTTCGTTCCTGTCCACGGCATCAAAAATCGTAGTCCCGCACTAGTTTAACTTAAAGAAATATAACATTAACAATAGTTTAGGAGACAAAATGTAATCAAGCGAATTTAAATATATATATAGGGAGAGCTTACCCCACCTGGGGCCGGTTGTATCAAGCCCGTTTAACTTAAACGGTGGGTAAGTCAAAATTAAATAACACTCTTGAATGAGTTAACTTGAATATTATGCTTTGTATTAAGGTCAAAAACATTTTGTTCGCTTAATGAATAAAACGGCAGACTCGCTTTCTATTTTGAACTTATCCACCGCTTAAGCTAAACGGGCTTGATACAACCGCCCCCAGAGCTATGATTTTTATCTCGTGTACACACGAGACATATCAGCCCTAAAATCATGCATATGATTATGATGAATAAAATAGCAATTTGTAGTGGAAAATAATGTGGTCACGCCTCAACTCAGATACGAGTGATGATATATTTTGACGATAAAGCACTTAGAATCGACAGTCGATAATCGACTTCATTCAATGCTATCATTACACAAAGAGTCTCAGTTCAAACACCATTGAATTAATCAGAACACCCATCAACTGCTATTAAAAAGACACAGCGTACAGTAAAAATGCCTTTAACTGACATTGTGCCTTACAGTATGGGAGTAAAGATGACACCAGAATTTCAAACTATTGATCTGGTTCCTGAATGTCTAGAACTTTTGTTCAAAGAAGATCCCACAATTAATGCTTATAAACTGGACTTAGCATATATTTTAGTAAAGTATATATGTTCTTCAAATGAGGAAGTATTGCTAGGATGGACTGGATTTAACACCATGCTTTGTAGTAATGAAATACCTGATGTATCCAGAGTTGGATATTTACCAGTCATTGATGCATCCCCAACAGAATATTCAACCATCAACACAATCCTCACACGGAGTACTGAGATTGCAGATAAATTAGAGCTGAGATATGCTGTGTTAGTTTTTGATGAAGCTGTTTATGCTAAAGTACAACATGTTCGCTGGAAAGAAGAGACATTCTTAAATCGGTTTGTTGTTCGCCTTGGTGAGTTTCACACCATCGTGTGTTACCTTCTGCCATGTCAAAGATCTTTGAAGATGGAGGCTTAAAGGTAAGGACTCATTTTTTTATGAGAATTTGGAAGAGGCAAAAATAGAAAAGTTTCACTCTTTATTCTATTACTATATACAGTATAGTCTGGTGATTGCCAGAATGCAGGTGTTGAAGATGGTAATGACGATAATAGCAGTTATGGCCTGGCTCAATCTGATGACGATGATGAACTGGATCTGGATTTCGGAGATGACGAAGATGATGAGTTGTGATATTAGCTGTCCAATTGAAAGAGTTAAGTTTAACATTTTATTTGTGTCCTAAACTTTTAAGGTGCTCATAATTCCCCCACAATTTAGGGCATGCATAGGGGACAAGGGTCACGTAATCTCGCTAGAAATATCGAAGATTTTATTGTTAAATGCACATATATTGATATTTGGTTGACATTGATTTAAGATATGCAGTATGTTGTTTCTGTATTACATAGTTTTAACTGCAAGTTAGTTTATTATAAAGGAGAGGAGTAGCATCAGTGTATAGGGTTAGTAAGGCTGTAGGATAATGCGTTCTTTCCTTATTTGTAAAATTCCAGGCCTTGTTGTCTGCCAAGTTTGGTTTCCTTTTCAGGTCAAAGAAAGAAAGATCATCACAATGGAAGAGTTACCAAAATTCAATTGCAAGAAGAAAGAGAAGTTGCTGAGCCGGACACGAAAACCAGGAAAAACCCCTCGGTAAAAATCTGGATCGTGTTCTCCCTCCCATGCTGCAGCAACGCTTTTGGAGGTTAAAACATCAGGCTGATATCAAACTTTGGTATGCGTGTTTAATATTTTAACATATACAGTAGTTGTACGTTGCAAATCACGTATTAAATAGATGTACTCTAATTATCTTTTTAGTGGATTGATGATAAGATAAAGGCGTTTGGTAATTAACTTTTTCAAGAAACTGAGATTTTGTAAATAGTTTTGTTGAGAAAACGCGTGTATTATACTTGTAGTTAATACAAAACAAAGGTTATGCTGAAAAAGGATTGTGTAGTAACTATTTTATATAACTTGACTAGAAACAACACGCTCGTTGATTTTGATGCGTGTAAATAAAGTTGTTCTAATTTATTTGTAAATTCCAAGAGCAGAATGCTATAAAAATTCGCAAATTGTCGAATGCTTTTCCGTTTAATTGTTGTCTAATCTTCTCTGACTAATTTACTTTTGAAAAACTATGAAAATTTGCGAAAAACGTCGTTAAAAGTCACTCAAAGCTTCCTTGTTGAAGCTGCTTGCATAGCAAAAATGCTGGAAACTTCATTTCAATACCGGTATAAAACTACTGAATCTGCTATATATGTCGTATATTACACCCAAGTATCCCGAACATTTCCTGAATCAAAGTCGCGGTACTAATTCCATGTTCAGTACACACCAATATAAATACAACACCCTTTTTTAAACATCTATTGTATCATATCATATCATTAAGCATCATACTATATCATACCGTATCATATAGCATCATATTGCATCATATAGTATTGTACTATATCATACCGTATCATACCGTGTCACACTGTATCATATTGCATCATACTATATCATACTGTATCATATAGCATCATACTATATTCTCACTGGGCGCTTCGCTAAACAATACCATATTAATGCGTTAAAACTTAATGCAAATATAAGCAGCATCAGAGTAATCGCATGAATAAACACGCGGTTGGTATAAAAGACCGGGAAAACAGCAAATTTTTACATTTTGCCACGAAGACGACCTGGCTGCATATACAGGAAGGAATTTTCGTCCCACCCACCTCCCCTCGGCTGCGACACCGTCTCCTCGCCGCACTTTACTCTTAGCTGAAAATCATTTTGTCCCCATTCTTAGTTTATTTTCAGCTATGGTATTGTGCAGCGGGGCGAACGGTGAGAATATATTCATATCATACTGTATCATATCGTATCATATGGCATAATATTATATCATATCATATAATATAGCATCATATAGTATCATACAATATCATACCGTATCACATAGCAGCGTACTATATCATACTGTTTCATATCGTATCATATAGCATAATATTATATCATATCATATAATATAGCATCATACTATATCATACTGTATCATATCGTATCATATAACATAATATTATATCATATCATATAATATAGCATCATATAGTATCGTACTATATCATACTGTATCATATAGCATCATACTATATCATACTGTATCATATCGTATCATATAGCATCATACTGTATCATATAGCATCATACTATATCATACTGTATCATATCGTATCATATAGCATCATATTATATCATATCGTATAATATAACATCATATAGTATCATACAATATCATACCGTATCATACTATATCATATATTATATATATATATATATTATATATATATATATATAATATATATAATATATTTGCACATTTGCAAAAACGTTGGCCGCAGATGGATAGATAGATAGATACTCGAAGTCGGATTAGAATTGCATATGATTACATTTGCATGGGATTTCAATCATATTACACAACATATGCAATTCTAATTAGATTTCGAGTATCTATCTATCTATCTTTCTGCGGCCAACGTTTTTGCCAATGGGTGTATATATATATATATATATATATATATATATATATATATATATTATATAATATATATATATATAATATATATATATATATACAAGGTGTATCAAAAAAAATGTCCCAAATGTAAAATTTCCGTTTTTCAGGATATTTTGCAGAACTTGGCAAATTTTTGTGTTCCTAGAGATAGTTAAGACTTATCTGGTATACCTAGGCCAAGTTGGGTTTATCATTAACAAAATTACGTTACCGGGGGAATGGTTCCTTTCCACTGATATTGAGAGGGCTTGCGCGCAAAAATGTGAAGCTGAAATTGAGATATTATTTAGTTGTATAAAAGTAGGAAAGCTTTTTAATAAACTGTCAAAGTTTCAGGAAAAATAATGCATACTGGGAGCAACGCGCGACCCCTAAAGGTGACAAATATTTAATTGCGCGCAGTGGATTAAATGCATCGTTGATTTTAGCGTGACCGATCTCATGTAAGGCTGGGCAAATGAATAAATTAAAGGGAGAAACTGAACACAAAAACAAAGCGATTTATTCGTGATGTTAATCCTCAGCATGTCCACCATTTCATTCTAAGCAAACTGCGGCTTGTCTGAGCATACTAAACATTGAACATCGAACCATTTGTCTGTCCATTCGCCTAGATTTGCCGATGGTAGCGTAGGCGATTTGCAAGAAAGAATTTCGAACGAAATGGATAATAGGAGGCAGAACAGACAAAAGTGGTTCGCCGTTCAGTGTTTACCATGCTCAGACGAGCCGCAGTTTGCTTAGAAAGAAATGGTGGAAATGTTGAGGATTAACATCACGAATAAAAATCTTGTTATTAAATCGCTTCGTCTTCTTGTTCAGTTTATCACTTTAATTTATTAATTTGCCCAGCCTTGCATGAGATCGGTCACGCTAAAATCAACCATGCATTTAATCCATTGCGCGCAATGAAATATTTGTCACTTTTAGGGGTCGCGCGTTGCTCCCAGTTTGCATTATTTTTCCTGAAACTTTGACAGTTTATTTTAAAAAAAGCTTTCCTACTTTTAGACAGCTAAATAATATCTCAATTTCAGCTTCACATTTTTTGCGCGCAAGCCCTCTCAATATCAGTGGAAAGGAACCACCCCCCCGGTAACATAATTTTTAACATAACTTGGCCTAGGTATACCAAATAAGTCTTAACTATCTCTAGGAACACAAAAATTTCCCAAATTCTGCAAAATATCCTGAAAAACGGAAATTTTACATTTGGGACATTTTTTTGATACACCCTGTATATAAATATATATATATATATATATATATATATATATATAATATTATATATATATTATATATATATATATATATATATATATACAACGTTTAAGAAGGCTATTTACACATA